AAATAATATCAGAAAAATATTCTCCATCTTCAGAAGTTTTTCACCCAGGTTTCACTTTAATACACAAACAATTTGGCTAACTGCAGTTTAATACTCACTTGTCCTGAGAACTGGACTCTTAACGTGTGCTTTTTGTGAGGCTCTTTAACAGGATGACACTCAACATCCCAAAACTGGGCATAATCCCCTCTATCTCTGGGCAAAAACGTGATGGAGACCTATAAGACACACCCAGAAGAAATGTTCATACCCTGAACACCACACACATGCAGTTAGATTAGCAATACAAAATTTTGGTATTAAAAACTAAAGGAACAAATGCTTTTGCAATGGTTAGTTTGCTTAGTAATTCAAAGAGAATTTGAACAGTTTTATTTCCACTGGGCTCAGTATTTACACCAGGTACTTTTGTTTAAGGCTTTATACAACACATTCCTCAAAATTCACAGTATACATTTTGGAGAAAAAGTTTCAAAGTACTAGAGCAGTCAAGCACAAGACCCGGGGGTGGGGAAAGTCCTACCAGAAAAACAATCTGGCTTTTGACCAACATGCTTATGGCCCCCTCTGCTGGCCATAATGCACAAGGATAAAGCTGCAGAGATAGGGTTGGAGGCTACCAGGAAGAACAAGGGAAGAGCTGGGACTCAGTGATCAGAGCACCAGCAGAGCCAGCTGTCCTGATGACACAGTTCAAGGTCACACACAAACCTGCATGTGTACAACCTGTGAAAAGCTCAATGAGAAGGCTGTGAAAACACACACACACACACACACACACACACACACACACACACACACACACACACACACACACACACACACACACACACACAGTCCTGGGGATTGAACCCAGGGGTGCTATACCACTGAGCTACATTCCCAGCCTTTTTTTTTTTTTTGAGACAGGGTTTTAATAACTGCCGAGGCTGGCCTTGAACTTCAATCCTCCTGCCTCTGCCTCCCAAATCAAGGGGATTACAGGTGTGTGCCACCACACCCTGAAAAGAAGTTATGAATATTTTTGAAATGGTATTTTATGCCATTTACCAGTGTCAAGAGCTTCAGCTTTATCAAAGATTTCAGCGTTGATAATACTGATCACCAGTTCAACTAACAATGAGTCAGAATCTGTGTTTGAACCTAAATGTGATATATGTAAGTGACCTCATTTCTACCCCTGAAGAACACAAGAAGCCTCCAAGCAGCTGGAGGTGAAGGCTTCTGACAGACAGGAGGATAGGCAGGCCTGTCAGGTGATGGCAGCCCAAGGAGGGGACTAAACTCTAAAGAGGGCCTAGACTCCGATGAGGAAGCAAGGGCGGAAATGCCAAGGAGACTCCTAACCACAATCACACCTGTCAGACACCCAACACAAAGAGCAAAGAAAAAGACGGATAACATTGCCTGTAATATTAGGTAACACTGAGAACTCTGATGCTTACTATCCTCATATCACACAACCAATGTTTCAAAAAAAAAAAATATTGTGTCTGCTACTTTAAGAACAAGGTTGTAACTACCTTTCCCCCCTGCCGTTCACTATTATATACATAGGTGATTGTGCCATAGGGTAATACTTTCCTAAATGGACTCTGAATAATGTGTTTTGCTAATTTCCTTAATACAAATTAAGTGATGAGGCCTAGAAGCCATCTGACACATTTACCAACTACCTGCAAAGTGATAAATAATAAGTTCAACCCTTGATTTTTGTTGTTTGACATGCCAAACAACAAAAATCAAGACCCTCACAGAGCTTATGCTGCTGTTACGTATTTTATGAAAGGGATAAACTCTAGGGACACAATCTAGCCCACACCTTCTCTTTCCTACAGCTTTCCTGAGACACAATTCACATGCCATACTTTATTTATATATTTATATAAACACCCCCAAGCATACAATGTCTTGCGTCTTAAACACCTTCTTTGGCTGGGCTGCCCAGTCCTTAGAGACAGCCAGGGCCTGGGTAGGGGCATGCCTTAGATATGCAAACTCACTCACACAGAACCCATCCTGAGAAGCAGGGCTTCCCTCTGTCAATCAGCTGACACTTGGCCAAAATTTATCAAGCTAGCCAATCCCAACCTGCTCACTTGCCCTGCCTTGTTTTCCTATGGGAATCTCACGAGCAGCTGTGGTATGAGCTACCCCTGGTTCCCGTTTTCTGCCATCTGAACACCTTGCTGACTGCTCCTCCTTCCAGCTTGGCATGAGTAACCTCTGAGACCAGTGAGACCAATAAACCTTGATTTTCTTATGCCTCCCTTGTGTCCCTTTATAGCAGCAACTGACTGTGGAAGAACACAGAACACCGCACAGGTTACCCAGGTCAAAGGCAGTCAGTGGTTTTCAGTGCATTTAGACAACTGTGAACCATGAACCAGTCTTAAGATATTTCCAACAATCCCAAAGGAAGTCCTACACCATCAGCAGCCACTCCCCATCCTCCCATGGTCTAAATGGACTTCAGCTCTTGGGATGAACAAGAGCACTGCTGAATCCCAGGGGCTGTCGAGCACCACGGGGGACATCTGAAGGGGCTGGGTCAGGTCCAGAGATGAATGAAGACCACAGAGATTCACAGCAGCTGGAAGACACACTGGGGACTCAGCCACGAACACAGAGCTCTTCCTGAGCAGCAGCAGGTTTCCCTGGCTCTGGCTGGTAGGCACAACGTTGTGTAGGCAGGGACATGCACTGGAAGTGCTGGCAGCTGAGGCCCTTACCCTGAGCAGGGTGCTCGTTTAGCTGCCAGTTCCCTCACAGCGAGACTTCCTGCCCTAGCAGTGGAAGGTGCTGACTGCAGCGAGGAGGCCCCTTTCCCTGAGGCCAGGGCTGGGACAAGGGAAAGAAACATGTGGCTAGTTCAAAGGAGCAGCCTGACCTGCCAACTAGCTATAAAATAACTCCCAACTCACCTTCTGGATTCCACTGCTTTTCAAAATCCCAGAAATAGGAGAACATATGAATGCTGCATAGGTAGCTCTAAAAACATCTCCACTTTCGTCAACTCCCTGCAAAGTGGTAATTTAAACAATTAAGCAAAAAATTGAAGGAATGAATGGATCACTTCAGAGACACAATTACCTTTCCGGTTATCAAGGACAGAGCAGCCCAGGTCGCAGCAGATGAGGAGGGCGCAAAGCACTCCCAGAATACGGTGCGTCCCATGGCTGGGCCCATCATGATGGCTGTCCTCACCACACAGAGGCCATGCGTGGCAATCTCTAGAACCTCCTTGGCCCCAGTGTCCTTCATGATTCTGTTTACAGTGTCAAGTGACTGCCTTCCCTCAAAGGCCAGGACCTACACCTCAACATCCCAAACAGTACCAGTTCGTCACATCTCTGCATTAGGTGTGAAAACTATCTTTTGCACACATTTTATTGTTTTTAGTTTATGGCTCAAAATTAATTTTCACGAAAAATCCAAGGCAGAGAGGCTCCAGTGTTGTAACAACACAGATGACAAGCCTGCTCATTTCAGGCAGTGCCCCCTCCTGCACCACAGCCACATCAGCATGGAGAGGAAGCCAGTGAGCATACCACAGTGCCTGATAAGACGACCCTGAAATCATTTCAGATAAAAATCAGGACTCAGAGACACAATTAAATGGAGCTTGCACATGTTTTTACACAAATTATTTTAATCTGTCAGTTAAAAAGATATGTATCATCCCATCTACTGGGAAAATCAAGTAAATGAACTGGTGGGACAAACAACTGGAGCATCAGCTCGTGCTCCAACACCCCATACAGAACTAAGGCAGCGAGACGGGTGCATTCGAGATCATCATGACTGACCTTGACATATGGCGGAGCAAAAGACGACAAGTGCCACCTCGCATCTGTAGGGCCGTGATTCTCGAGCTCCAGACAGTTCTCTAAAAGGAACAGACATACCACAACTCACTCTGAGAGAGTCCAGTGATGAGTAGCCCTCTGTGACAGGCCTCGTGACCTCACTACAAGGAGGGAGCCCTTTGTAGTCCAACAGGAGCTTCAGAATTTTCTTAAAAAACTCAAGTGGTCAGATACTTATTGATCCTATTTTAAGCCTAAGACAAAGATGCTGAACGGCCACAGCAAGGGAACAAGATGACAGTGAAATGGAAAGACAGCAGTGCCACTCACTGACATGGAGAGACTGGGACAGGAGCAGGCCTGTCCTGGGCACGTTACTCTGACACACCTGAAAGATGCTCAGGTGCAGGAGCTGAGCCAGTGCTAGGCAGGTATCTCAGGGAGCTCACCTGAGTAGAGAGTTAAGGAATGACAGGAAACTGCTCAGAAGAACACAGAGAGAGAGGGGCATGGCAGGTCCAGGATCCAGACATGTCAAGCTTTGGAAGTTGAGGCTAAAGTTCACAAAGAAATCTAACAAAGAGCAAGTGAGGCTGGAAAACCTGGAGCATCAGCATCCAAGAGGCTATGAGAGAGGTGTTCTAAGGAGGAAGGAGAGGCTGAAACTCAAATGGAAATGGGGCTCTACAGTGACCTTCACAGCTGGAGCAGTTTCAGCAGCTCTGGGCCTGAGGAAGGGAAGGTAGGCAGCACAACCTGAGAGCAGGAGGGACGTGGAAAGCGGGCAGCTGCAGGGAGAGGCGGCAGCCCAGGAGGCACCTCCTCGACTGTGGTGGCACAGGTGACCTTGGGGCTGATGGAAATAGAGGCACTCATGACCAGGAGGCATGGAGAAAGTCCCTGAGCAGGCAAGAACAGGTGGTGAGACTCCAAGCAGAGGTCCTATTTATGAGAGAAACAGAAGCCTTCCATTCTCATTTAACAGCTTCCCGATTCCTGTGTGGGGCACCACTGAGAGCTGGAAAAGCGAGAGAAAGTACAGATGAGACAGACCTATGAGGGAGAAGAGACACATGCAGCTGGGAGGTTGGGTCCAAAGCCTCGGGATAAAGGGGCATCTGACCATGAATCTGTCAGCAATGGCTATACCGTTTTGTCTAGGACTGTTCCGTGCTAGGGACATGGAATACAAGACAGGTGGATTGAACCTGGGTCAGAATGTAGAGGGAGAGGCACACAAGACAGTTAAGGAAGGATGTGAGACAGTGGCCATGATGGCAGAGCATAGGATCCTAGGGGCCTAGGAGGAGGGGATCTGAGCAGGGTGGTGGGGAATGCTGAGGCTGCAGGGTTTCAGACCGTAGGCCTCAGCAAGGTCAGAGAACTGCTGCAATCCCAGAGTGAGTGAGCTGGAGAGGGTGGTGACCAACAGTCAGCCAAGAGTCAGGCTTGACACTGTCTGCAAGCAAGGTGAGCAATCAGGGGTGAAGGGCAAGGTCCAGGAGAGGCCCAAGGAAGAAGGAAACTGAGGCAGAAGGACAGAAAAAACCAGTGAGAGGCCAGAAGCCAGGGGCCCAGGGAGGGCTGTTCTGTGTCCTAGCCACCATTCCTTTCCACTAGAAAGGAGGAGAGACAGAGGTAAAGGAGAAATGACCTCAGGATATCTGAGGGGTATCCTTGACAACACAGTTATGTGGCTATTGTACAGGTGGTGTGTGAACCCGGCTGCACCCACTTTCCTTCTCTACCTACTCATTCATCAATTCTGGTGAGAGTTGGAGAGGGATGGTTCATCATCAAATAAAATGTACGATTCTTGGAATGCACAGAGTTACTGAGTGCCTAGATTTCATACTTTAAGATTACATTTCCAAATCCAGCCCACCACTGAAATGACTGTCAGTGACCACTGGATTTTCTCCTGAAGCTGGGGAGAAATTTACACTCATCACTATGCTAAGGTTACCTCAGAAGAGAGCATTAGGGGCTGGGGGCGCAGCTCAGTGGTACAGTGGCTGTCTCCCTATGCGAGGACCAGGATTCAATGCGCAGCATCACAAAAACAAATTAATTTAACTAAAAAACAATTGAGCATAAAGACTCGATAGCCATAGACATTTGACCCACCTAATACTGTGATACATACCTGAAGTTTTACCAGGTTCTGTTGTGGGAAAAGTAACAGTTTTGCTTCTTATTTCGATTTTCGTGGAAGGTGGCTTTGTCAATGGTTTTACCAAATGACGAAAGGAAGGCTCAGGTGCTGGGGTAAGAACTCCAGATAGACCAGAGGCCGAGTGAGGTAAGAGTTCTCTTTGAGTCAAATCTTCTCGAATTTGAACTTTCACAGTTTTCTGAAATGAGCCAAATAAAAGAATAAGAGACAAATAAACCCATCTTAAAAGAGACAATTCTGATTCTAAATTTATGGTAGAGAAAAGAAATGCCAAAAGAATGAAATGCTGACTTAGAAATTAAAGTTTATTCAGACCTCAACTTTGAGTCTATCTCCCCAACCACCCTTTTTTTTCAAGGAAAATTTTGCAAATTAGCAATGGCTTTTAGGCCTCACTCTCAACCCCTAAGAGAATCGCTCAGATCACTAAAGGCAAATTCTGTACTAAGTGCTCCAGCTAAATAAACCTCGCTGGGCTGGAAGAACACCTTCACAGGACTTCTGAAATGTAAGGGTTAATATGGATTATGAAACTGAAGCTACAAAATGAATGTTGTTCAGAAAAACACTTTACAAGTACCTTCTGTCCACTGTCACAGTGTATATAGATCAAACCACTCCATGGGAACATTGTCTGCTTTGTGGATAAGGAGGAATTAGGACTCACAAGAATTTGTAGTTTATCCTTAAAAAAAAAAAAAAAAAAGAATTTCTCAACAAAAACCATGAATATCCTGTACTTCCATAGCAGACTGATAAGAGTCACAAATACTGTTCTACCAGCGACCGACTATTTCCTGTGTCTGGGAGACAGCAGAGAATGAGGTCAGCTCCCCACATTCCCATGCGCAGCTCAAAGGCTAACAGGTGAATTACAAAACCCACCAGGCATGGGCAAGGTGCAGGTGAAAACAACCATGCCAGAGAAACACCATCTCAAAAGCAATTAGAACAGAAGGTCTCACTCTACAAATGCTCTGGGCCTCTAGATAAGAAGACAACAGCTGGAGAGCAGACTGGAAGAAAGGGTTTGAGGAGATGAGGGAGAGGAGACGTGAAGTGGGAAATCAGTTTCTCTGTCACCCACTTACTGATCTTTCCTGAGCACAAAATTCTTTAATACCCACGAGTGCCAAAAAGGAGTTTAAATGTAAATCACATGATCAGACATATGACTAAAAGAAATCACTAGTTACACATGTCAAAAATGGCAGAGTGAGGTTATTTTCCACTGCAATTGGTTATATATACAAGGCCGTGGAGAAAGTGAATTGTGAAGAAGGCGTTCTCAAGCACTGGTTAGAAAGGTCCTGTTGCACATGGTGCGTAGGAAACCTCGAGTGCATGCTGAGCTGACTGCTCAGGTCCCTGCAATGTTTCTCTGAAGTGTTCCTGTCCCTGCCTTTGCTCAGTCTCCGCCAGGTAAACTCTAAAAAGTACATTCATCACTTGGGCAAAAGTAAGTAAACTCCATTTGTTCTGTGGATCTGCTAATCTCAAGTGTGAAGCAGCTTCCAGATGGGAGAGCTCTGGGCTAGCCTAGGTAAAGTCCCTGAAAAGCTGCAGAGTTGCAGCTTTACCCACTATTGGTAATTAGCTTCATACAGGGGGAATTGTGCATGAACCGCCTACCCTGAAAGACTTCTCATACGATTCTGTGTAGAAAATAATCAGCTGGGTATGGCTTAGCTATCCTATAAGTCAGGAAGCTCTGAGTATAAAGAGTCCTTCATAAACAAACAGAATATATAATCCAAACCAAGGAGGTAAAAGGCAGACCATCTGGTTTTAAGATCCCTCTATCCTTCATCCAGTGCCCTGGTTTATCACTGCCAGGGGATTCTGGGGGTGGAGTGCTGCATCAGAACGTTCTTCAGTCTTCCATCCCAGGGTCACTGTTCCACCTCAAACACGCCTGTCTGCCACGTCAGGCCACCAGCCCTGATGTGTATGTGATCTCTTGAACCCCCTGATGCCCCACAGAGCCTGCTGCACTCTGTAGTCAGCAATGTACAAACTGTCACTGAGCACGGACATTCATCACTTATTTTTGCAGTGCTAGGGACAGAATCTACCATCATACATGGTAGGTAAAGTACTTTACCACTGAGCCACACCCCCAGCCCCTGAACAAATTTAAGTAATCTATTATCTGACCCATGATAGCACCTGAAGAGCACAGAGATATACTTACTCAGGGGCAATAAACCCGTGCTGTGGTGTGACTGTCAGGCAATGTGCTGGCCAGTACAGCTCAAATTTCAGCAACCTGACGGAATGATTTGCAATCTGGAAACATCCAGTTTTTGCCATGTCATCTGTTAGCAAGAGATAAATGCCATGTGTTATCTACTGAACTAGATTTAAAAAAAAAAAAAGACATGTCAGTAATAAAAGTGAATCCTAAATAAATAAACTAGTAGAGCGGCTTATTTTGCTCTTCTCCAACCACTCATAAAAATTTCAAACCCCTGTTAAAATAAGTCTATCTGATAAACCTTAAAAACTAACTGGCAACACTAAACAACATTAAGAGAAAAACAGACGTGAAGGCTGCTCCCGGCTGGTGTACACTCTGGTACATGTGCATGTACCTACTATGTTCCTATTACAAATTACATCAGTGTCACAGGAAGGACAGGCCAAGTGCCGGGTGAGCTCGTGGGGTGCACTGTGGCTCTGCTGAGCACCGCCTCAGGGTGAGGACCACACCCCAGTCACGTCGGAGTCAGGTCTCAGTGGCAGGAGCTGGTCCTGGATAGGCCATCAGTCCAGAGTGCACAAAGCCGTGTGTACCCTAGCTGAGCCCTGGGTGCTGGGGTGCAGCTCTCAATTCCCAAACCCACTGCTGACATGCTGTTGCCTCACTACTCACAAGAAGAAGGTGCTATCAGAATCAAGTGCTCTGGCTGGACAGTCCAAGTCTCTTCAGAGGCCGAGTTATCTTGAGGTGGGTGGCTAGTTTGTGAGAGAAAAGGAGAACCCTGAGGACCTCTAACTGGTAAAACATCCAAAGAGACATGGCCACTGTGTTTTCCAGAAGTCCCCAATTCACTAGAAAAAAAAATTTTTTAATTAAAAAAAATCAGAGAAAGGGGAAAAATTATGAAGAAAAGACAGTTTGTTTCATATATCTTATATTAATTCTTCATAATTCTAAAAACATTAAGACAAATCTAAAAGGGTTTTTCATGGGTTTTTCAGTGAATAAAAATCCACCATATTTTAGACACTTAAAAGTAGCATACAGGCTTGGGGATGCAGCTCAGAGAGCTTTCCCAGCATGCCCAAGGCTCTGGGTTCAGCATCCAGCACTTTTCGCAAAAGGAAAAGAAAAACAAAAGAAAAAGAACTGAGAGAAAAAGAAGAACAGTATAAAAAGTCAAGTACAGTGTAAGTCAAACAGTAAATACGCTATAATTAGAAAATTCAGTGATTTCTAATCTTTTTCTGGCTGACTTCTGCATGTGAAGTCCCTTAGAAGATTCACTAGGAAATGACTCAACACTGGGACTTGAGGGAAAACCAGACTCTTGATGTCTGGCTAACTGCACAGGGTGAGTGGCCACAAGAGGCAGGAGGTACATGTCCTGGACAGAGGACATGCCTGTGGGGGCCTGGGCCTGGCAAGGGCAGTGTCTGGGGCAGTATGCTCATGACTACAGCATGTGTGTGCTGTTTTCTCCTTCATGTTTTCTACATTTACACTAAAGACTTATCAAATTGTCTGTTCAGGTGGCTCAGAATTATATTCATTGTGCTTACCCTGTGCTCTTGAGTTCTATGGCATTTCTTTTCTTTCTGGTACTGGGGACTGAACCCAGGGTGCTTAACCACTGAGCCACATCCCAGCCTCCCAAGCTGCTGGGAATACAGGTGTGTGCCACTGCGCCTGGTTGTTCTATAGCATTTCAATAATAACAAAAATAGTGTTGTACTGTAATCTTTTATATAAAGCTATATGTATGGAAAAGTCTGATCAGTTTTTTAAGATACATCCTATTTGCAAAGGCACAATGAAGTTGAGTCTTACAGATTATAGGCAATAAAGCTAACAATAAGCCGCACTTCTCTCTCTCTCATACACATACACATACATACACAAGCAGGAGTCTTCTGGGAAAAATGCTAATATAATTTAGAAAGACTTTCTATTAGGTGTTTTCTAATAAACCTTAGATTTTTAAATATATTTAGTTCAAATGAATTTTGTAATCACCAAACACATGATGTAATTAAACTTTATGCAGTGCCCAAATTCATCCACCATGTGGCAGAGCCTTGTTTACTTCAAGTCAACACACGGCAAAGAAAGGAACCCCTGTCTCTACCTCTTAAGCAGGCCCTCCCTCCCCTGCTTTTCAAATCTGACTTCTAGCTAGGCACTGGCTCTAGCCTGTAATCCCTGAAACTCTGGAGGCTGAGGGCAGGAGGATGGCAAGTTTAAGGCCAGCCTGGACAACTTAGTGAGACTCTGTCTCAAAAAAAGCACCTGGCATGTAGCTCAGTGGTAGAGTACCCTTGGGTTCAATCCCCGGTATGACAAAAAACAAATAGAACAGACCTCTAGAGCTCCAGAAAACAATGCAGCACTGGCCACAAGTCAGAAGCAATATTTAAACCATAACAACATTTAACATTCTTGACTTTTTTGCTAATTAAGCATTAGTTCCTCATAAAATAAAGAGTTTCAAGGTGATTTTTAAACGTATGTAACTATTACCTTTAAGTCTTCCCGTGAATGTCTCTGAATGAAGTTCAGCACTGAAAGAACAGGAAAGAGAGCAGGCTGGTGGCCAGGGTGCAAGGTAGGTGGGAGGGCCCTGGAGCACTAGCCCTCAAGGGGGCTCAGCCAGGACTCATTGGCAGCACTGGGCTCAGGAAGACGGCCCTTGTGCCAGAAAGAGCAGTGAACAGCAGGGGATGGAGGGAAAAGGTAAACATGCTAGGGATAACAGGGACAGGATCCTTGGTACTGGAGAAAAAGGGTCCAGAGTTCAGGAAAAGAGCACTGTGGCAAGAGCAGAATTGTAGGGTCTGGCAAAACTCATGGCTTCAACATATTTGCAAACAGGAACAGCGTCGCTGTGGTGGACCTGTGTGTTGATTCACACACGAGCTCTGCGCACTGTGCGGACTAGGGCAGTGACACCATAGGAGTGAGCGCTAGTCAACCTCCTGGCTCCCCGTGCCAGTCTCTGCTGAAAGAAGCTATGCCCCCCAGGAGAATTAGCTGCCCTAGGGCTGGTGGAGGAGTGGGGGGTGCGCCTAGAACATGTGTGGAGCCAGAAAGAGACGGAAGGGATCAGGGAGGCGGATATGAAATCCAAGGACAGTGAAGAACAACATGGAACCCCTGAGTCCATCCTAATGTAAGTGAATAAAGACACGAAACCTCTTCCTCAGAATGCAAAGCCAGCTAATAAGTGGAGAACAACAGAATTCTAAATATCATCCCTTGGTGACTGTAAGAGTAACAGTGTGACTCAGGCAGCTACTATTGATGGATATGAAGAATATGTTAAGCAACAAGTCAATTTAGTATCTCCTGAGTATAGCTGCATGAGAAAGCTGGTGTGTGAGACACTATTTCCAACTACATGATAAATATCGTGAGCAGCAGGACAGACCAGAACTGTGCACCACCTGAGAAAACGCACCAAAAAAAGAGTAGCAGCACTTCCCGGGTGTTCTGCCAAGCATGAGACCTGAATCTGTAAGGTCTGGAGGCTGCCTCAACCCTCAAAGTCGCTGCAGGACAAGGGTGAGTTATCACAGCTAGCTTGGAGCCTGTTTTCTCCATGTCACCAGCAAAAATTCAGAGAAATGAAAGGTGACTTGGAAAAATCTGGAAATCCTGCCAATGACAGATCTCCCAGCTCATCTATGGAAGGCTCTTAACAGGATAGACCTGATCTCTCCAGAACTGTGTTGTGATAAGGAAACCTGAAACTTACAGGTTTATGGATACAGTCCTGTGAAGAACTATCACGTTACATAATTTTCAAAGTATAAAACAGAACTTTCAGGCTTGAATAGCTGCCATTCGTGTCATCCAAAGACCACAGGCCCAACCTGGAAAACTTGTGTAAAACTTGAACCAGAGCACAGGTAAATGAATGCTGTAAAAAGTATCTAGAAAGTGCCATAGGCAGCTCCAGACTTCCCCAGGCTTTGCCTAAAATTATTAGTAAAGCCGAATGTCTTTTGAATCCACAGATCTGATTTGGTAACCCAACCCTGGTAGCTCACTTGAGAAAGGTGAGGAAGGACGGAGAACTCTTTCTATACTGAGAGACAGTACAGAGGCATGTGAGCTCAGATTCAACTTTGAACCACAGGGGAAAGAAAAAAAGGAAGTTTTTTGCTTTGTGGTTTGATTTAAATATAGAGAATATTATTCTAACAACTGGGAAATGTGTATGGGATCCTTAAATGATACCACTGTATTAGCATGACATGTTCTGATTCTGTGGAGTTTACCATGACTACACAGAGGGTGGTTTCGCAACTTCAGGGCTTACTGTCACCGTGCCTACAGCTCACACTTAATGATTCAGGAAAAAGATCTATTCAAATCAAGATGACAAGGCAGCGAGGGAGGGTGGCACACACTCAGGATCCCAGCGACTCAGGAGGCTGAGGCCCTGAGCAGTTAGTGAGGGACTAGGGACAGAGCTCAGTTGATAGAGGGCTCATGTGCACAAGACCCTGGTTCACTTCCGGTACCACAAAATTTAAAATAAATAAATAAATAAGAAAGGGCTGAGGATGTGCCTCAGTGGCTAAGTTTGCTGAATACAGTAAATTGCAAATGAGGGATACTGGGGACAGGGTTTGAGTTCTCTGTTCTCTTTCTAAACTTTCCTGTAAGTCTGAAATGATGTTTAACTTAAACTAAAAAATAAAGGTGAAATAAACATTTTGAAAGAAGTATAGGGGAAAAACATCAGTTCTACTATAAACCAATCCTCAAATCTGGTCAGAGTTACATTTGTTTTACCTTTTAGATTCCAAGTTAGCTTTAGAAGGTGGCTGAAGAAACTCATGGCAGGAGACAGAATCTCTGAATTCTCCAATTACTGAAAGGGTAATTTTTCGCATGTTTCCATAAAAGAGTTGAATATCAATAGGCCATTGGGGAAGATCATACACTGAAAAAGAAAACAGTATTTTGAAATTACATCAATCATTACATAAATACAACACAAAATACATGTTTATATACTAATAGTCATAGAATGCTATTTTCCTAGGTTGGGGTAGGTGACATTCTGATTTTAATTCAACAGGCTGGCATGAAATTACAGGCAGTTCAGCATCAGTGGTTGATGGCTCTGGCTCTGAGTTGAACATTTACTACCCTTGCTTCTCATTAGCTCTGTGACCTTTGGCAAGTTACTAACCTCTCTGAGCTTTAGTTTCCTCTATTATAATCTGGAGTAACAACCTCTCTCAGGTGGTATTGTGATCCTCTCAACAAAAAATGTTTTGGAACATGACAACAACATTTATATAAAACTTACTGTGGGCCAGGCATCATTCTAGCCCATTTATATTAACTAAAGTTTCAGAACAATTCTTTGAGGTAGGTATTATATCTTCCTCAAAAAGAGGAATCTGAAGTACAAAGGGGCTAAGAATGCACAATATGTAAGTGAAGGTCACACAGACAGCCAACCAGAGCACCCAGAAACACGAAACACGCCTAGTTTAAGTAAAAATTTGCAGATCAATAAAATACTACTCAGACAAAACACCTCTAGATTAGGTCAGCTGAATTTTCATATACATTAAACTTTATAGAATGTACTTATATTTTATGCAAAATATGATAATCATTATAAATTATATATTTTAAATGGGAAATTATATTAGCCAAGGTATTTGATTATAAAAATTTAAAAATCTATCATGAGAATATTTGCTATAAATCAGTTTATAAACGTGAGATCACTATCATCAATACTTGTAATATGTACAAGCAAATGTCACTTAAAGTAATCCAAAAAGTGCAACTGCAGCGTCCTCACAGGAGTGTGTGGCACTCACCAACATGAAAATGTGGGATTACTGCCTTTATTCATGTGGACAATAAACATACCACTGTACTGAGAGTTGATGTCCCAAAGACCTGATGTCCCAAAGACCTGGCCAAAGTCCCAGCTCTCCCCTACCTTGGATGGGCTGCTGCAGTGCTTGGCTGGGTCCCTGGACAACCCTGAAAGCACACTCCTCTTGAAGTGTGGAATGGGCAGCTCCCTGTCCAGGCCTGCCCCTCCCCATCAGCACCTCGGTCACCTCATTCTCAATGGAAGGCCGCTCCTGGTGTTCTCCTGCATTCTTAAACATGCTCTAGCAAGCTTCAATTCTTGGCCCTGTGGTCAGGACACATCCTGCTGTCCACACCCTGAAAGGCAAGTGTCCATCCTGCTTGTGTAAGCCCTTGCTACCTGCCTGTGACCTCGGTGCTCAACACGCTGCAGTATCACTAGAGTCTGTGCTCCCTTGCCAAAGCACAGCTCAGGTCCGCTCTGACTTGGACCCTTCCTAGAGAAGAGAAGAAGGGCAGAACTGGCAGAGATGGCCCTGCCTTAGCTTCCACCACCAAGGTTTGTTCTCCATGCCCTGCTCCTTGGCACACTGAGGACATACATGTCCATTATAAATCTGTGTATCACTTTTGTCTAATCCATGCCTGCCATCCCCTGGAGCAGATGAACTAGACTCCTAATTTATGGAAAAGATCAGCCTATTCTATATCACCTGTTTAGAGGCACAAATGTCCTTTTCCTTTGCTGTACTATATTTCAGAAATAATTCCATCATTAAAAAACTAGGAAATAAAGGGCAAAAGCTATCACCTGAAATCCTACCACAACAAAAACCACCTAATATTCAGTTTGGAGAGCAAACTCCTGCAATTTTATTTGCATGAATATTTACATATAATTTTTGTCAAAATGAGATCATATTACACAAAATTTTAAAATAATGCTTTCCTAAATAGATGAAGAGTTTTCTGTCATTTATATATTCATACCACTTAAAACTGCAAAATTAAACCTAAATGCCTAGTCTTACTTCTTTTATAAATAGTACTATGTTGGAAATATGTACATATATTTTTACACCATTTGCACATCTTGGTACAAAATTTATTTTATATGAGAGCAGACATTATTAAACATTTTTAACTGTTTTTCTCAAATAGGGCCCACCACCTAGATTACAGTCAGTTCCCATGCCTTTTTTGAATGTTTTGCTACCATCAAATTCTTCATAAATCTTACAGTAGGCACAGGAGCCCACAGCCTTCAACATGACCATAAGTTCACACTTATGACATGAGATAACCTGGGCTTACCAATGGCTCTGCCCTGTTCACAAGCCTACCCACAGAACATGTGTGGGGACATATTACTAACACTGATGAGGCAAAGCTCTTCCACGATCCTCAGAACAACTCTCCATGGATGAGAAGCTAGATGCCATCTGTCGAGTGGGAAACTCAACAGATGAGAACTAAGTCTCAGTGACACCATTTGTTCCAAGTCATTGTAGCACAGCTGTGGCTCAAATTCAGCCTGATAACACATCCAATTAACATCTTCCTTCTTTGGCCACATCATGATGCAGATGACATCATGAAGTGACCAAGAGACTGAAGACACACTGAGACGCTTACCTTCATTGACTAGCATCTCATCTCGGAACACTTCAGCAAAATTCACGCTGTGCAGCACGCTGTGTTCTGGAAGGATCTGTCTTACAACCCCTGGGTTATCCAACAGGGCTCTGCCAGGGAAGAGTTTTATTCAAAATAATTTGATGTATTAAAATAGTCTCTTCATTTATGCATTGGCAAGACCTACTAACAGCACATCACATTAGTTTAGAGATCTCATATTTTAATTCCGTACACAAGTACTTTTAAAAGAAAAATCTGTTTTGTAAAGTACATGTGGTAGTAAAATCACTAGCTTCCATTAAAGATTTATACCAAAACAAGAACTCTCTAATGAAAGAATAAAAAGAATAGTAAAATTAGATTCTTTTCAGTTCTTACATTTTCATTATTTATGATAACAATAATTTGTCAGAAATCTGTCTCCAAAAAAGAACATGGGGGGAAAAAGATCATGGAAAAACTTAACTATACCTATTCTAGGCTCTTCTAGAGATCTCTGAAGTGAAAACTCAACTGTAAATTATTTTATAATACTCCCAGATGTTCATAACTGAAGGAAATCTCACTGCTGTAAATTTTTGGCAAAGAAAGGTTTGAAACAAATACACCAACTTCTATATCCCACTGGACAGAAATTTTAAAAATCCAGAAAACTTGGCAATCTTACTTCTCTAAAAGTCAGTTTCTATTTCTACAATAATAAATAGAGCCAAGGTTCCAAGGTGAGCTTTTCACATGTGGCCTGTTCCAGCATCCTATAGCAAGTCACCACTAACTACTTGTTATCAAACATTCCAATGAGCCCGAACAAATTAAAAATTAAACTGTTTCCCAAACTATCTTGAGAAGAAAACAAAGCAGAGTACAAAGGGCTGGAAGGAAACCTGCGTATTTACTGCATGTCATACTGCAGCCAATGACTTCTACTAAGAGATGAGTGTCATGAGCGCCACATGACCCATAATCAGGTCCTCCAGGCTAAGAAACAGAATTTTATAATAAAATATTCCAGAATTTAACACCTAAGGATGTAACTTATGTTTAAATCACACCTAGTCCTAGATCAACATCTTAAAATTTGTCAGAAGTTCAGCCTAGTAAACCATATTTAGATATATCAAATTCTACAAAAGTACATGCTTTCAACAGCTTGAAGTTCAGACATCTTACACACTTCTAAAATATAATTCTTTCAAATAATTCACAGAATTCCCAGAAATATTCCAAATTGGTATGTTTATGCAGTATACTCTCAGTGGTTCTTAAAATCTCTGACACTGATCTATTGTCACTTGCCAGTTCACTAGCACACAGTGAAGTATGTTAAAAATCCCAAATATTATATCATTTACACCTTCATTATTTCCACTGAAAAATTCCCAACATTGTCTAAAGGAAGCAATCTACCTTCGATACTGCTGTCTGGAAATTTCATCTCCACCAAAGAAGTATATAGTTGACAGTTCTGTTGCAGTTTTACAGTCATTCTTTCTGTCTGGAGGATTATATATTATAGTAACATCCTAATGCCAAGAAAAATCAGAAGTGAATATTAAGTATTTTTCTTGAGTAAGTCAGTTCACTTTGGATAAACAGTCTTAGGAGCCTAAATGTCCAACACAGACACAACTGCATACATGTGGCACTTCCAAGAAGACTGGACGAGCACTTCAACTCCTACATTACTTCCAAATACTATTTTAGCTTTTGACCATAAAATACAGCATTATTAATCTACAAATGAGTTGAATTTTTTAGGGCAGAGACTTTTGTACTTACTTCCTGTGTTCTTTCCTTGAGCACAAATTTATCTGGAAAAATCTTCAATACTTTGGGATCCAGCAAAACTTTTTTCTGAGAATCCTTAAAACCTATTGCCTTGACAAAAGCTGCCCGAGAGCCGGTGTTTCGGACAGAAACAACAACTTTACTTTCTTTGCCAGGTATTAAGTCATTCACTGTTACCATGTAGCTATCAGTTAATTTTTTAACACCTTCCAAAATAAGATTACTTGTTCCTCCATATCCAGACAAAGGTATCTAAAAGAATATACACATACAAAATTATTTTTATGTAAGAAAGCAGATTTAATTATAGTCAGAAGATGATACAGAATGATTTCATGTGTCTCTGCGTACTTGGGCTAGAAGTTACCTACCCCACTTCCAGTCCAGCATTATATAAACCCCTTATCTGGTTTTTTTAATTAAATATTTTTTAGTTGTAGACAGACACAATACCTTTATTTTTTTTTTATGTGGTGCTGACAATTAAACCCAGTGCTTCACATGTGCCAGGAAAGCTCTTTACCACTGAGCCACAACCCAGGCCCTAAAAACCTTATCATAAAGGAAAAATAAAGAGTTGCAAAATTACATGCCCTTTAGTCTGTTAAAAATAATCATTTCACTGTTACAAAAGCCAAGCCTAGATGACAGAGGAATGATCCAAGGATTAGAGTAGACATGTTTGCTTAAGAAGTTTTTAGGGTTCAACATACTGATATTTGTAATTTACCCTGAAATGCATAAAAAAGATGAACTGCAACAGCCGAGTGTGGTGACGGATGCCTGTAATCCCAGTGGCTTGAGAGGCTGAGACAGGAGGATTTCGAATTTAAAGCTAGCCTCAGCAACAGCGAGGCTCTAAGCAACTCAGTGAGATCCTGTGCCTAATTAAAATACAAAATACTATGTACAAAACACTATGTACCTGAGTGCATAGCTCTCTAATAATTAAAAAATTAACTGATAGCTACATGGTAACAGGGCTGGGGATGTGGCTCAGAGGTGGAGTGCCCCCAAGTTCAATTCCCGGTATCCAAAAAAAAAAAAGATGAACTGATAGATGGTTAAATACGGGAAAGAGACATAGAGTGAAATATGATTTTACAATCTAAGTGGTAGGGTATGTGAGTATTATTGCATAATTCTTTCAACTACTAAATAATTCTGCAAAAAAAAAACTGGGATGACAAGTTGCTGCATGTCAGAGAAAGTGAAGGGACTGACTCACGGTGAGTCTAAGTGACAGACAGGGATGGCTCCCTGGATTCCCTTGTCCAGGGGAGAAGTGTCAATGAAGTGTCGTCCACACACCCTGTTCATGGTCTTGATGCTCCTGTGAAATAAAGTCCCCGGGGAGCCCTACTCAGCCCACCTCTGTGAAAAGACGAGGTGGTCACTGACTTTAGTAGAAACCCCACAAGGACCCTGGGTTTCTTTAAGAGTATGTCAAACCCAAACATGGGCTTGGTGACTGTCAAATCAAATGGTTCTACCCTAAATCACCAGTTATTAGTTCTCTAGGGAATCTTCTTCACTAATAACCTCAAACATTGGCTAGTAAACCTGAAAACTATTCAAAAAATAATCAGGATAACCTTAAAACACAGCCCATTTGGTCTTCTCCACTAACCAAATTTTATCTTTACATGAAACCAAATTATTAGAGAGCTATGCACTCAGGTACATAGTGTTTTGTCACATTTACAGATGCCATGTTTAAAAACAACCTCTTAGGTCTTTAAACAATTCTGCCCACCGTGGGGCCAATCAAGTGACTCCACACAGAAGAAGTCAATGCCAGAGTCAAACAAAGCTATCCTGGCCAATCCTGTAATCATCACATGCCCTCTGTGGCTGGCGGTCCCAGCCCCACTGCCAGGTGACTGTGCGGTGTGAAGGTGTGCAATAGCATGCAGCTCAAGTTGCACTGACTATTAGGCTCTTATTTTCTTTCCTCAATAATTTATTCCTTTTATCTCTAGTTGTTCTGAATGTAGTTATGTAAACAGCCTCAAATCGCTTTTAAAAATTATGCTGGGAATAGGCAAAATCTAAAAACTTGTCCTTGTATCTCTATATTTACAAAAGAGTCTAGCAATTCTATCAATAGATATTTGCTATGGTCTGAAGGTCAGTGTCCCCACAAATTTGAATGTTGAAACAATCTCCAAATGATAGTGTTAAGAGGTGAGGTCCTTTCAGAAGTGTCTGAATTACGTGAGGGCCCTGTCCTTGAAAATGGGAATAGTGCCCTCATTAAAAAGCGGATGAAGGCAGTACAGAGATATAGCTCAGTGGTGGAGAACTTGCCTCGCATGCACCAGGCCCTAGGATCCACCCTAGTACCACAAGAAAAATAAGTAAATAAAACAAATACAAAGTGAGTGTCCTTGCTCCTTTCATCATGTGAAGACCCAACATGATGGCACCATGTCTGAAGCAGACGGCAACCCTCTGAAGACAATGAATCTGCTGACACCTCGATCAAATTTAAATGTTTATAAATTTACCCATTTGGTTACAGCAGACCAGACAGACTGCCAATTGAAAAGATAAAAATTTTTTATCTTTTTAAAAAATTTTTTAGTATTTTTGCCCAATTGAAAAGATAAAAATTTACTTGGAAAGTCAGTATCTTAAACAAAGCTCTACCTGGATTTACCAAAAAATGTGTTCCTAAAAAGTCAGAATCATTTCAAAATCCTCAAACTGAAATGACACCTAAAAACGTTAGAAAATACAAATACTTAATTGGTTGCTTTTATAACTTGACAATTGTCCCTAACTTGCTTGTAAAAGATGGATGATATAACTTGCCAACCAATAGTTACAACTTGTCAAAAACTGCTTGTGAGGAAAGAAGCAATGGAGTTATCTTACCATGAACTTAATGCCTGGCTGTGATTGATTTCCAAGCTGTTTGATTTCCAGTTTAGCCAACATACAAGATAACCGAGTAGGTGCAAATAATACTGAGATTACAATGTCTTCTTTTGGCTGCATTCTGATCTCACAGTTACTGGTCAATCGCTCTTCTAAGCCAAAAGTGTTCTGAAGCTATAATTTAAAAATAATCACTGCATAAAACAAAATAGTAGCACAAACAAAACACACTACTAATACAAAATGTAAAAAACCTGCCTGCATATGTGACTGTCTGGATGGAGACAAAACACAGGGCAAAACAAAGGCCATGCATTCTACAGACCTGAAAGCAGTCCTGGTCCTGTCCTTTGATAAGCAGCCGCAAGTGCTGGGCCATGGATGTGGAGTTACTTCTCAATGCCAGCTTCTGAAGTCTGGAAACAATTACATGTTTCAAATGCTACAACTATCAAAAATAAAGCCAGTCAAAACCAACCATGGCATCTGCAGACCTGGGCTGGTGGCATACACCATCTTAGCAGGCCAGTGTCGTCCTCACAGTCTTGGGCCCTCGCTTCTGAAAACAGAAGGCGTGGGGGTCACCTTAGCAGATGAGCTTTTTGGCTTAATCTCTCTCCAATTACAGCTCTTTAGCGGGCCTTATTCTCTGTCATATTGTCTGCCTTATAAAAAAAAAATCAATGAACATCACTGAAGAAATTCAGTCATTAAGTCAATGCCACAGCTAAGGGGAATATCTGGCTCAATTTAGCTTTCAGGCAAACAAGTGCTCCTAGCAGTGTGCTGAATTCATCCTGCTTTTAAAAAGTTCCACTGCAAGGAAAATAAACATGTGAGTAACAGCTGGCTGGCAGGAAACCCTTTGAATTTCTGAAACCATGTGACTTGCCTCTCCATTGGGGAATACTGAGTATGTGGGCCAAGTCCTACTTCACCCAAAATGTGAAGATGAGCAGTTCAACATGGAAGCTGTGGTCTAGGCCTTGTCCACCTGGTGTTCAAAGGGAAAGACTGAGCTCCAGCTGTCCACACCCCTAGGAAAACAACCCATAGCTATGTTGCCTAGGGAAGACTGACTTGGAGGAATGCTACTTGGTAAAGCTTTCATTTTTACTTATTTTTTAATTTTTAAAGAAACAGTTATTATTTTAAGAAGTAGAGTTATCAAGTTGAGGGGAAGAGAACTCGGTTTCCAGTTTAAAATAGGAATTCCACAAACAAAAAGGATTAATATCTTTATTCTTCAAGGAATTCACAAAAATTAATGAGAAAAAATCTAAAGGACTGAAGTGTTTAAGCACACATATAAGAAAGAAACCAGAATGAATAAGCAGATTGTGGAAAAATAAAGATTTTAAGTAGGAATCCAAAATTTGATATTAAATACTATCTTTGCATCATTCTATGCTTGGAAAATACAACTGTAATTTATTATCATTCCTTTCTGCAACAGAAGCGAAGTCCATTAATTTAATCACATTTTCCCCAACATTATCATTTATTAATTTGTCCTCTGTACTCCACATTCTGCAACAGGACCTTCTCCTACAAGAGGGGAGGCATGGGGGTCCCAGCAGACACATGATCTGCCCCCTCTCAGCACAGCCTCAGCTGCCTCCTAGGACATTTCATGGGGGGGGAAAAACAGGAAGTTTCCTTTCTAAGCAGATAATAAATGTGCCTCTTTATCCTGAATTCTATCATAAAAGCCTCACAGAGGGGCAGCATGCACCATTTGTGATGGAAAAACTCTTTTTTTTCTATGTAGGACACAAAAACGGGGTGAGGAGAATTACAGAATCCACAGATTCACTAAGTGCAGCACAAAATACCTTGTGCTTATTAGCTTCATGTCCACTAACGCTTGGGATGTTGTTTTCAGAGCCCAGCTTTCACCAGCCTCAGGTAGAGCAGTTCCCACAGGACTGGCACATTCCTCCAGTTGAGGCAAATTTATCTACTCAACTATTGTAAGTAAGGGACACTCCTGCATCGAAGCTCCCTGCACCTGTCAGAGCACAAGAACTCTCCATAAGGAAACGAAGCCATGAATCGAGGAGAGTCTGAAGGCCTCTCACTCAGGAAGACACTAGGGCAGAAACACCAGTGACAAGGACAAAAGCACGGGCAACACACTGCTCGTATTCAATTTAACTAATTTTTTATAGTTATTTTTTTAAATATATTTTTTAGTTGTAGTTGGACACAATATCTTTATTTTTATTTTTATGTAGTGCTGAGGATTGAACCCAGGGCCTTTCACATGCTAGGTGAGCGCTCTCCCGCTGAGCCATAATCCCAGTCCCAATTTAACTATTTTTTATTTTAAAATAACTCAGCACACATTAATTCGACTTTTGGTAAGCTGAAAGTGAGGTTTCAGGAAGGCATGGCATCTGAGGAGAGGCTGGATCTTAAGAACAGCCATCCCTACCACAGTGATTATTTATTACAACCTTTCTCACAGGGCAGAAAAATCTTCAGGATCAGTGCAAGAATGATTCAACTTTTTTCTGCCTTTTGACTTAACAGATAAGATCAGTTATGAGAAAAGCTGTGTGTCAAAATGGACACTAGCCTTTTACAGCCCCCACCTTAACTCAGAAGCGCATTAATAAGTACAGTTGTCAGGTAGCATCCCTCGTCTTGATGTTTGTAGTGTACAGTTAAACGATTTTGGTTGCCTTCCATAGCACAGAACTTACTTAAGGACCTCAAACAACTGTGTGTACGTGTATTACAGCAGACCACAAGTCAACATCTGGGGAAGCAAGGGACGTTCTGTCATGTAGGCACTGTTCATGCTCAACTGCAGAGAGCTAGAAGAGCTTTCTAGACAGGCACATGGCCTTGCTCAGCCTTGCTCTCAACATATTCTTCAGTTCTGAATCTAGCTGGCTGCAAAAGCACAAGGACACACATGCTCAGCAGCAAAAGAGCTGCTGGAGAGGGATCATTACTTCAAATTAACTGCCAAAAGCCTGGCTGAGAGAAATGTCTACCGTGAGGTGCTTGAAGAATACACAGACTGCCCGTTCTTGAAATGACCTGAACCATTTCAAGCTGCAATTACATGGATCTGGCAAGGCCCAGATAAATGCTTTGCTGTACCATGCCTGGGCACCCCACTATCAGACCACATGGAAGCAACTAAGTGGGAGAGGGGTCTCTGGAAATGGTATCTGAATCTGCTGTTTATCTGTGAGATTCACTGTACTGCACAGATCTATGGGGAGATACATCTCAAAAGCTGGGGCAGGAGGAGTCATACTTCTCCCAGGCAGTAACCAGTCTGTGCTTCACTTCTGCACACTGGGATTCGGGTAACTGATGGTGTGGTTCTCCACAGTGCGGGCAGATTGTCAGTGCAGGCCTGAGCCCACCAGGGGTGGGGACACACAGGGCCTCGGCAGGCACTGGGGCTCTCCCTGTCTTTGTACATCACCTCCTCCTACTTCCCACAGGAGTCACTTTCCACTTGTTCTCATCTTACTTGTCTTTTTGAAAGCTGCTTTGGTAACAAGACAGAGACAACTAAGGCATGGATGAACTCTGCAAGTGAAAAGGTTCAAGCAGACCCTTTCAGAACTAACGAAATAAGTTTTTAAAAAACAATTTCTTCACAATCAGAGTAGAAGTTCAGCCAGGAGTTTCTTATCTCTCAGGTACCATGGAAGCGTATGTGTAAGACATTTAAGGAAAAACACAAAAGTACAAAATATGGAAGAGTAAACACTCAGGCTAGTCATTATTAGGTCATTATAAGTATTTGTTTACTAATTTGAGGCTTGTAAAAAGAAAAGTTGATTATATTGTTATGTTTATAAAGGGAAACACTTAATATACTAAATATATTACATGCAAATTAATCTTAATTATGATGTGTACTAGTTTTAATTTTATTCTCATAGTTGTATTAATTTATGTATTTCTAGTTGTTTCTTTACAAATTTATTTAGAATCAAAGACAGAGATTAAACAGTGTGCATCTGCTCCACTAGAGACCCCTTGCAGTCTTTAACACTGGAGCACCAAACATTCACAAACAAGACTGTAACAAGTTGATAACATCTCTACTTTTCCCTTCCTTCCTTTCCACAGAAGAAACCCACAAGCTCTTAACTGCTTACATTTGGTAATCAGCAGAAAATTTGCTGAAGAGCCAAAAAAAAACCTCAAACCTATTTCTTTGGGATGTATTTTAAAAAGAGGAAAATTTTGTACTGCAAACATGAAAATTCAGAGTAGAAAGATTAAGTGAACATAAGATAGCTTTATCAACTCTAGAAACAATAACACGGTCATAATCACCCAGGAGAGAACAACATTAATCAGCAATCCTCAGCAACGTGGATGGCCACGTGCACACTTACTGTGTTCTGCCGAGTGGGACACCTCCCCAGGCCAGAAACTGCCTGTTGGACAAGATCAATGGAACATCTGAGGCACAAGGTCCTGGCAGCAGAGGGTTACCTCCTGAAGAAACCACCTCACCCTTTAACACAACTTCATACTGGGGTCCAAATGGCTGCACAAATATTTTCAAGATCCTAATAAAGAGAAAAATCTATGTCAAATGTCCTGTATCCGTTCTTTTGTTTTCTAAGTGCTTCTTTATCCAAGAAACACAGCTAGGTGCCAGGGGTACCATGACATTCCTGCCGTTAGAGCTCATAGTCCAGAAAAGAGTGCAGACAGAGGAAGGGGACAATCACTTTCACATGGGGTGACATGAGACGGTCATGGTGTTATGGGGATACAACTTATGAGAAACTTGGGAAGTCAGGAAAGTTTCCCAGAAGGGACTTGCCCAGGGGAGTTTAGGGCAAGCATTCCAGATACAAGCTTCCACACTGGTGCAGCCAGATTGCTCTCTTCTTCTGCAGGGTCCTAACAGCAGACTGCACCCCAGGCAGGTGGCAAGCAATGAGTCTCAGAGGTGGTATGTGTTAAGCTAGGTTTATGCACTCAAGTTCAAATACAAACAATAGTGGTATTCTGGCTATAAGTTGATATTTGCTTATGATTTGGGGGCCAAAAAAACACAGGCCTGGAAAAGGGACTGGAAATAGTACTAAATTAATAAGCAACAAGGTCAATTAAAGGTTTCCTGGGAGAAAAAGAAAAATTAATGAGAAACATCAAAATTGATAAACAACAATATTGATGTTTTATCATTTACTTTTGTCACAATATACTTCAAAATAGTAATTTCTTAATTTCTATTCAGTTGGTTTAAAACAAGATTTTTTGCAACAACAACAAAAATCTGAGGCTTAAAGAAAAAGAGGTAGAGCTCTATCAGGTACGAGAAGTCAGACACATACTTCTGCATTCAGGCCCCAGGTGAAGTATGTCGGAGCAAGTGGCTGTTGTGACATGAGTAAGGGCTTCACATAAGTATGTTCACCTTACCTTTCCTCACAGACCTTGGGATCCTTTGGCATAAATGAAACTAGGACTTTATGTTCTTCACCAGGCTTAAGGAATAAATTTTCTGGATCCACTGAAAAGTGACTTCCTGGTCCTGGGACCTGAATAATCATAGCCATCCCTCAGTGTTGACTCATCCAAGTGCAGCCCACCCTCAGTCAAGCTTGTCCTATGTGCACTACTCACTATGACAGGTTATTTGTCCCTTCTTCCTTGTCCATCACTGTCCCAACTTATTTATTCTTTTGAAGAATATATATTTTTTTCTCCTTCTTCCTCCATAACAAACCTATCTCCCCTCTATCCCCAAAGCCCAGTCCTTCCACCCTCTCCCAGATCTACCCACAGGTCTCAACTCACGTCCACCGTGGGGACCAATCTTCTCCATCCTATCTCACCACGAGATGACACACACATTTTTTTCAGCACTAGTCAGAAGCCAGTTCTTGAACTCAGGACATCAGGCTCTGACACAAGAGCACTGGGGCATGATGCCTGCCAGAGGCACCCAGCTCTCACAACAGACGATTCTCTAGTTTGACCCTTAGGCTCTGCCAGGACAGGAAGTCCTGCAGCCTTCAGAAGTGAGATCTTTACAGTCAAAAGAGAGATCGAATGAAAGAAACTCTTACCTTGATATCTAAGTAAACTTCAATATTGCCAGCATTTTTCAAAGGCAGGTACTGCTTTGTTGAGGAATTCACACCAGCCAGCAAGTGCACAGTCTAAAGGACAGGACAAAACCCACGCTTACAAAATGGTCCTGATTCAGTGCATCAGCCGGCACACAAAACAGCGACAGCCAGGAACTGAGGTACCTGTAAGTCCCTAGGAGCATGGATTCGAGCCACTCCTGCTCTTGCTCGGAGACCCACACTGCTAAGAACTGGCGTAGGGTTTGGGCTGTCAACTTCTATATCCACTCTCGCCAAGAATTCTTCTGCAGGGTCTAGAATCTCTACAAAAGTTCATTCTTTTAGTTCAGAGACTAGAGTTATTTAATCCTAATGCCCTCATCAGCCAACACAATGCCCTTAGGGGACACAAGAAGATTTAGACAAGAGTTTTTTTTTAAGAATTAAAGGAGAAACATAAAAGATTGGAAAGGGGTGGGGGGGTGGAGAGAGAGAGAGAGAGAGAGAGAGAGAGAGAGAGAGAGAGAGAGAGAAATGAACTCCCCCACAGGTTTTCTGTGACATTTGGTTGGGTTACCCATAAATACACAGGTTTGACCCAAAATATCATACCATCTGCCCATTTTCTAAACATAAAATTCTTTACAATTGTCAAAATAGTCACTTTTAATGAGAGAGAAAATAAGTTTGAAATTTATAGTTTATTTAGATATAAGTAATTCCCACAAAGTACAAATGTGATACCTGAAGAAGCAATTTGTTTCTTTGGACTATGAAAAAGAACCCAAATTATCAAAAATTCAGGATCCTACAAAACAGAAAAAAAAAAAAGAATTATTATTATTATTTTAGTGTATACTAGTTAAAATAAGAATAAAGTCTTCATGAGAGAAGAGCCAGTCCTCAACCCGCCTAGCCTACCTGTCCTTCCTGATTGGCAGGCATCACATGACTGACCACAGAGGGGGCTGCCAGCTGAGCAATCACATCGGCATAAGGAGCAGCTTTCAGAGAAGCATGGATGGGTTCCTTGGAAAAGGTGAAGCAGCACCAGGCTAAGGCATTCTATTCAGAAACAGAAGGGTCAAGTTCAGTAAAGCCACAGCACTATCTCTCGCAATAGAACCCTCAACAACACAATTTACTTCCACCAGAAAAAATCAGCCAAGGGTATCAGTAGTCTACAATTCCAAACCACGTCCTCTGTAACGTTTCCTACTCTGTTGATACTCACAGCATTAATGGTCAGTCTGACCGGGACAGTGGCATGTGTCCTGTTTATCAGCTTTAGCGGTAGAGCCTTCCAGCCACCATAAGTCAAGTCACCAAAATTAAGAACACCTTTCTCTTCTGTTTCTACCTAAGTATGAGAAAAAACTGATTTATGAAAAACATACATGAATAAAGACCATACCTTATGTACATATCACTGCCTCTTCTGACCACAGTCACTACTCAATGTTGAAAGTGAATTTAGACCTAAGTTTTTCCTAAGCTATTTTATAATTGCTTATTTTCAACAAAACTAAATGTTAAATTCTTCTTTTTAGGGAGTTCATGTACATAAATTCCTAAGATTAGCTGCTGCTATTCTGAAAAAACTACTGGATCTTAAGAGAAAATGAGAATTTTATAAAGTATATAAATCTCCCTTCAATGAATTCAATTCTTAGAATATATACTTCTCAGTTCAAAACTATCATGAAGGCCTGGGGTTGTGGCTCAGCAGTAGAGTGCTTGCCTAGCACTTGTGAGGCCCTGGGTTTGATCCTCAGCAACCACATAAAAAGTAAATAGATAAATAAACAAATACAATAAAGATATTTTTAAAAAAACTATCATGAATATCTTAGTATTTTCAGATTGCATCCAGACTTCTGATACTATGAAAATATTTAAAATGACATTTAGCTAGATATATCAAAAGTTTAAAGCAGGTGCTTACTACATGACAACACAGACTTTTTCAAACGTGGAAGGACACCTAGTAGATGCTCATAGCCTGACCTATATAGAAATGCTGGGCAATATTTAACACTTTTTTTCTTTCTTTTTTTTATCTAATCAAACATAAAATACAAGAAAACCAAAGGCAGACTGCTCAGTGGGAGGGAACTGACTCTGGTGTCCCATGAGGGTCTGGGGTCCAGAGTCAACCCCAAGATGGTTGAGCTTTAATACCCTTGGAAGACAGGACTTCAAGCTTGCTTGCTGGGGGCAGGGTGGGACAGAATGGAAATTGAACTTCATGCAAAAAGCCCCAAAATTAAAAGAAGTGTCCTTTTTAGAAATTAAAAGGGAACTGGAAAAAATTCTGATCCCATGCCTGGAAAAATACCAGGGGGCCTGTCTAGGCATGGGGGTGCCTGAAGAATCACATGGAGAACAGGAAAACCTGAACTTGGGCCTGAGGAGCCCCAGCTCCTGAGACTCTGCAACATGATCTCCAGGAGTACTCCAAAGACCAGGGCAACGTGGGCCCCCTACAGCAAAAGCAGCCTAAATGAATGTGCGCTTATGTTAAAACTTGCAAGTATCAATTAAAAAAATCAGAAGCCACGTGAAGAAAATAATCAAGAAGACTAAAAAAAATAATAAGTAAATAATTAACAGAAGCACCAGTACCTCCAGAACCTGAAATAAACTAGAGGGTCCCTGACTTTATTAGGGCTAGGGAAACACAGTGGTCTCTCAGTGCCGGGCAGTGGTAGCCTACTATGGCTCCTCTAAGCCACGTGGCCACAAAAAGAAACAGTGACAGTATACCCAGAGCACACTGCATCTGTATTCATGAGAGAGCTGACACGAGTAGAAAATAGGCTCTATGCTAGATAGTTCTGCCCAGCTGCAGGCTAAGGTAAGTGCTCTGAGTAGTTTAAGGTAGCTTAGACTCAGCTATAATATTTGGTAGGTTTGAGGTATTAAATGCACTTTCCATTTATAATATTTTCCACTTATGATGAGTTTATCAAGATACAACCCCATTGTAAACTGAGGCACATCTGTACAAGTTCATCTTAAATACAGATATACAACAGGATCCATGATGGAGGGGAAAGCAGAATATTCATAAAGCAATGGTGAGCAAAACCAATGTATGCACAGCTGGATTGACCTATTATATCTTAATGTTGAGATATAAAAAGCTATTTGGAACTAGAAAATTAAAAACAGTAAGAAAAAGATGAGTGCTAAAACGATCAAAGTGTATTGTTTGGGGGATAGAACAGCACTCCTGATTAGCTTTAGACCTAGGTAACCAATGTGATAAAAATAGAAATAAAATGTATAATTTCCAAAACTAGACCAAAGAAGGGCAAGAAAAACACTTTGAATTTTTAAAAGGTACCATAATAAAATATATGCTGCATACTGAAAAATAGAGAGATGGAAATAGATATATAAGAAATTAGTTAACAAGGGGCTGGGGCTGGGGCTGGGGCTCAGTGGTAGAGCTCTTGCCTAGCATGTATGAGGCACAGGGTTCAATTCTCAGCACCACATATAAATAAATAAATAAATAAATATCCATCAACAACTAATAAAAATATTTTTTAAAAAAATAAATTAGTTAACAAAAGATGATAGAAATATTAACTCCAGACAAAAGAGACTTTAATACAGAACTGATAAAAAAAGCATTGCTGCTTAAAAGGAAGCATTTCATGTAAAAGATAAAGCAATTCTGAGCCTAAAACACATGTGACAATACAGCTGCAGGACACCAAAGACAAAACTGATAGAAATTATAATTCTCCATATGGGAGAAATCCCAAATCTACAGCCACCTCTCTCAGAAGCTGAAAGTCTAAGCTAACCAACGTGTTGGCAAGGACACAGGGAAAGGAAAAGAGCTCCAGGACACATATGCACTCAGGACTGAAGAGAAGAACCACGTGTCTTTTAGACAGGTAGGAGCAGCAGGACTGAACACACACGGGCTTCAGATGATCTCCATCTTGTATTTGAGCACAAAAAGGAAGGGGGGCATCCCAACACCCCCACACAGCTGGAAACCACAAAAGCATTTAAAGACTTTCTAGGCAACTTTAGTACACAAACTTCAGCAATGTGGATCAAACAGCTAGCTAATTACACTCCCTGGTTCTGGGATGTACCTATGAAATACAATATTCTAAAAACCATATAATTTAGAAATATTGCTATCTGTACTTCTGATTTGAATCTAGAGCTCAAAAAATATTAATCAAGCCCCTGTGTGCCAGGCACATTCTGGATATGAACAACAGAAATACAGATGCTGCCCACAAGGGGCTCACACTCTAGTAGGGCAAAGAGGGTAGACAGCAACAACACACAAGGAACAGAGGCTATAACTTAGTGATGACTTATGCTGTCAGATGATGAAAGGTGTCCAGTGAAAGAGCAAAGTAAGCCAAAGAGAAGGGGAGGGTGGGGTGAGAGGCAGGGGGAACTGCCAATCCCTCCACCAAGTCAGGTGACATCCCTTCAGAGGCCCAGAGACGTGAGAGTGAAGGCTGCCATCATCCGTGGGAGGAGGATCCTACTCAGAAGGTGAAGGCACCCAAACTGAGCCCAGCAACAACAACAGCAGGGGCTTCTCCACCACTGAAGCTGCTCCTGAGCTGTCCATAGGTGTCCAGAAAGCTCACTCCCACAGCACTTTTTCATCTATGTGTCATGTTGTCACTGAAAACTATTACAAGCTGCACTAATTCATATAACAAAGAACAGCTGTTTGCTCTTGTGGTGCTGGAGATTATACCCAAGGCCCTGTCATCCTAGGCAAGTGCTCTGCTACTAAGCTGGACCACAGTTCAGAATATTTGATTTTATTTATTCTATACACATATATTCAAGATTTCCCCCACTGCTTACTTACCATACTGCTTCTTAAAGTGATACTTAAAAGCTAGTGTATAATTTACTTACATAATCTGGTTAAATTTCAATGTCCTTTTTTACCATCAATTATGCCAAATGACTGTTCAAACATATCATACTAATATCCACTCAAGTAATAATGCATTTCCGAAAGGAGAGAATATGTAGAAAAGGACACAGCAGGACCCAGATTCTCCCCCTATTCCCAGAGATATTTTTATATCTGGTATATAGAGTCCTACCTGACTATGTTATATTTAAAATTTCAGCCCAACTAAAGATAATAAGTTGAAAAGGAACAAGAATGGGAAAAAATAACCACAAAGCATAATAATTAGCAAACAATTATAATCCAGAATTTAAGGAACATCTACAAAAAATCAATACTTTCAAAACAAAAGAAAAATGGGCAGAGAAAGGGAAAGCAAATATAGTTAACGACAAAGAGAAAAAGACGTTAAATGTAACTAGTAATCCAAGCACACAAATTAAAATATAAGCCACATCCAAGAAATAAGCAACCAATTTAAAACAAGCAAACAATTAGAAAACTAACCCTAATGTTAGTACTAATAGGAGCTCTCATACATTTCTTGTGGGCATATAAATTAAGAGAGTAAATTGGCAAAGATACAAAAATAAAGATATACACACACTGCTACGTATTGTATGTTTGCTGTAGTACCTGGGAGATCGCTCTGTTTCTGTGGGTGGGGCCTCTATACCATTCTTGAACCATGCCTCACACTCCCGACTCAACCCTGCTTGTCCCTCAGGGCCCATGTCCACTCCTCTAAGAAATCAACTTTAATTGGTCTGGATGATGCTGAATGATCTTTACTTACTCCAGTGGTCCCCAAAACTGTCGGGAAGACTCAAAGCTCTGACACAAACATCGGGATTTTTGAAGTTCATCAACTGATTCCAATGCACAACCCTGTTTTGGAACAATGCCTTACACTGCTCAATGCCACTGACTTGAGCTGCTCACGCATGACGTGACAACTTTAAATATGGCCTAGTAGTGATTTTCATGTGTGTTACAAAAATTTAAGCTCCTTAAGTGCAGGTTCAAAAGCCTGGTGTACACATACTGACATGCAGATGATTAATAGCTATGTTCTCAATTGGGGGGCGGTTGAGAGGGGAATGTAACACCTCCCGGAGATGTTTTAGGTTATCAGGTCTGGGAAAGGACTATTACTGGTATCTAACAAACGTAGATCAGGGACAACACTCAACATCCCACACAACAAAAGACGGGCCCCTCACCTGTAAAGAATTTGAGCCCAAAATGTCAATAGTGTTAAAGTTGAAAACTGATCAAGAGAAAAGCAATCACAGCAGAGTTGATGGAGAAATACATAAACTGGCACTTCAGAAAAAGATCATTAACAGTTTATAATAAAGAGAACATCTACAAATTCTACTTTCTCCTCCCTGCCCTAGAAATTTTCGGGTGAAGTTAATAAGCAAATTCCTCTGGGAAAGTGTACTGTGAGAAAACCCTGGGATAATTTTCCTCAGCCTCCCAAGAGGCTGCCTTGGCCCTCACTCCCACATCCCAGCTCTAAACTATAAGTCACAGCTACGGTTTTGTTGAACAAAACAACAAATTAGCTTTAGTAGAAGCTCAGTAACACCTGTGGGTTAAATAAACATGTTAGGTTCTGTTAAACTTTTAGGAATCAACTTGCTTTAATGAGCATTCCTGTCTGTGCCCTCTCCTGTTCCTCCATCCTGCCCTGTTAGTTCTAATTTCACTATTGCTTAAGAAGAGGCACTTCTTGGAAGTACCTACACTGTAGCTAAGGCTGCCTTCTGACTGTAATCCCTCTGACTGAGGGATAGGTCTTGGGGAGCCTAGAAAGCTCCCCGTGCCATTCCAACGTGCAGCCAGGGCAGGAACCTACTGTCCTCAACAGGTGTGTCATCCAATGAGCATTTACATCATCCCAGTTTGGCTAGACTGATTTTTCTTTCACTTTCAGAAAATGGATGACTGTAGAAGAGGAAGGCTTGCAGCTAGCAAGGACTCTTCAGGCACAGAGAAAGGAGAAGCAGCGTGTACCTAGTGCTCTCCTAAGTGTATGTCAAATACACAAAGGAATCAGTGGGAAATAGGGTTTAAAACTCTGCTTTACAAACATCTTAGTAAGTGTATTTATGTTTCCTGTAATAAAAAACAAAATAATTTCAAATTCTGGAATACAAGATTCTAAGAACTTATGTTCAGCTTGAAATTAACTTTGTGGCACATTGGCCCACATTTGTTTTTCCCAAATATTACATCTAAGGCTAAACAGCCTATATTAAAACATCAGGAATGACAAGACTCATTTACCTCAATAACAGGAGTCTCAGCGATAGCAGTGAAAATGACTTTGCTCGCCAAAGCTTCTGCTTGTGCTATTGTCTCAGAATCTGCTGAAAATGGCCAAGAAGCAACACTGAACATACATCGGAAAATCCCAGGACTGGATGGTATGAAAAGTACTTTTATCTCCTCTGTGGCATGAGGTCTTATGATGACTTTATTCTTGAAAACTAGACAAGGACATGTTGAAAGATCCACCTTAAAAAAAAAAAAAAAACCCACAGGATTTGTTAAGAAATGGCTTTGCATTGAAAATCAAGGAGAATATCCAAGTTTAAAATTCCTTTTCACAGTTACTTGAAAATCTAGACATTTATTATCTCTTCAAAAATACCCACATTTTACAACTTACTATCTGTCAACTCGCTCCCCAGTTTGAACTGCTCTTACTGCATCAAGAATGGGTCTCCTAGCCTATTTTAAAGCAAACACATTTATCTATACTCTCACTCTTCTTAAAAGAGGCAATAAAAGTGAAGCACTTGGCCCTGGAAAGCTCTTTGGAACATGGCTTCTGCATCTGCACCATGTGGGGCAGGGAGTCAGGCTGATCTCTCAGGGCCTCAATAAGACCCCAGTACTGCAATTATGGCTCCCATCAGACAGTTCCTCCTCACTGTAGATGGGGATCTTCTTCCCACTCCCACATCCACAGACAGGACTACGCAGACTCCCAGATGCCCCTAATCAAATCTCACCTTCCACTTTCAAGCCTTCCTCCAATCACCTGCTTTTCATGACCAAGGATCTGAAAGCAGGGAGGAAAGGAAGCGGGGCAAGGTAGAGACACTTTTACTTTAGGAGGAAAAAGGGAGCAGCAAGCTCATCTGCCAACGCTGGCTAGCAAGCAGTATTGTAGACAAGACACGTCAGAAGGCAGCCATGGACAATATTCCCCCTTCCCTGTTCACTCTGTTCAAATGAGATCTACATCTGGAATTAAAGCAGCTGTCACTGACCATGTGGGAGACCCAGACCATGCAAGTTAATGTTAACTTCTTAAAACTGGGTTTTTTGGGGGGCTGGGGCTAGGGCTCAGTGGTAGTGCTCTTGCCTTGCATGTGTGAGGCACTGGGTTCAATTCTCAGCACCATGTATAAATAAAATAAAGACCTATCAACAACTAAGGGAAAACATACTTTTTTAAAAACACTGTTTTTTTTTTCAAGTATTTCAAAAGATCATGTAAGAAAATGATCAGATCAATTAGTAAAAAGACTACCCTTAACTCAATAAAGACATAACCCCAAGGGTTACGTGTTTCTTTCTTTCCTTTTTTTGGATATATGATAGCAACTTATAGCCAATCCTATCTCAAAAAACCAACAAGTAGAGACCAGAAACTCAAAACATTCAGTGATTTAACAGCACTAAAAGCAACCTGACATACTTTAATAAATAAACGATAAAACATAATGATTAATAATAGCCAATGGAAAACGCAAAACACGTTCAGATGTCACTTCTTCCACTGTGAGTAAAACAACCAAAAGGGCACTGAAGAAGGATCCCATTCCAGTGCATGTGCGCAGGGTGGACGAATCCAGAGGGAAGTCAGTGCTTCCCCATGCATGGCTGTGAAGCCAGGAAGTCGCAGAAAGCTTACCTTTTCACCATTAACGCTAACACTGAGAACCCCAATGCTGACTTGTAGCCAACGGCCAGTTGGATTGAGTACACTAAGGTAGGTCTGCGAAGCAATACTGACACAGCAAGCATGAGGAAACTTCAACTCCTCAGGCACTCTGACGCTGTCTGCATGAGAAGATATCAAAACACGCATTCAGATCAAACACCTGGTTAAAAGCAGGAGAGGTCAAATGGAATTTATAATATAAGACTGCCTACTTTACGAGTCCCAGGACAGTGCCCTGGGTGTGCAGGAGTCCTTGATGCTGCACAAACCTGAGTGGAGGCCTGCTAACAATTTTTCCTCCTCTATCCAGACCAGGAGAAGAAAAAAAAAATTATAATTTATCAAACTCACAACGTACAGCCAATTAACTCACTCATGTTATTATCAGTTGGAAATCTGTCCTTTTTCCTCTCCCAAATTATAAGCCACTGCCTGAATTAGAAAGAAACCACAGAGGCTCTAATCTTCAGAAGTGCCATCTTTCCCCCATCTTTTCCATCCTCACGCAAATACCTTGAAGGACAGAGAAGACAGTACTATGGTGGACGGGTACAGTGCCTAGTCCTGCTGAGCAGACCACTGTCAGGGAGAGACCCATCCCTGTGGGGACAGCAGGAGTGCTGTCCACCACCACATCCCCTCTCTGAACTCCTAAGGTATGTCAAGGACTCCTAAAGTGGTCACTTCCTAGTTGAAAGAACAAAAATCCAAGCATAGAGCAGAAGAATGAGGAGAAAGACAAGGAAGCTTTCCACCTGCGTAAGCTTACTATTCTAAGCCAACTTAAGGGACTTCTGTGTAGAAATATTATTCTGTTCTCCAAACAGAGAACAAAACTGGTAAGAAAGTATGGCCAGTATCCCCTTGAAACATTGGTTTGACAATCCCATTTGACAAAAAGCAACCTTTAAATAGTAAAAGCAACAGTAGAAAAAAAGAGACAAGAAGCATCTCACCAAATCCTGACATGGTTCCTGAATCCCAGGACTCCACTCCAGACTGCACAGTAAAAGATGGTACTGAGCTTAGCACGTTCTGATGTAAGGTATTAGAACACCGGGTATAGAGCGAAGTGGGACCCATCAATCCAGGGGTGAGATCGGGACCCAGGTAAATCCCCATAGCCATGGAGTTCTGAACGTGGTCTCCTGCGATAGCAGGGTAAGTAAAGCATCCTGAGAACCCACAGGCCGAGGCGCTGCCTGAATGGCACTGAGGCAAGGCAACATTCCCTGCTGAAGAGAGTGTACCCACATACTGCTGTTTCAAGGGAGCGGTGCTGAAAGAATGTGCCGTCCAGAGTGTGGGGTGCACAGCAGGAACATTCTGTACCTCCTCAGCAGAGCCGTGAGCCATGAGTTGGGAGACCGGGCCTCGCAGGTTTCCAGAGGTGTTCTGATTAGGAATCTGGCCACTGAACTCACTGTTGGTGCTCGAGGTGTCTTTAGAAATGACTCTCTGACCTTCTTCCATGGACCTCAGGCAGGACACAGCAAGGTGAGATGAGGCTAGCCCCACCTGATGGCTCAGACCTGGCTTGCTCAGGAGAACCTCACTGACTGGATCCAAGTCACTGCGGTTTGATGTCAAACGTTCTTCACTGGTTTCCAATGGCTCTCCTCTTTTGGAGGTAGGATCTTGACTTGATTCTCCACCCTCAGGTCTGCTACTCAGAGAAGTAGTTTCAGTCACACTTTTCAAATCAGACTGGTTCTGAATAAGAGATGATGAGGCTCTTTTTCCTCTATTCTGAAATGGAACCTTTTTTCTCAGCTTTTCCATAGCATGTTCCTCCAATGGTGCTAGGCTTGATTGAATAATTGTGGTGCTCAACTCACTGGTGATATCACTCTTGAGTGTGACAAAATAATTTTCAAAATTATCCACAGATAGATTGAATATAACAAATTCAAACCATACTGTTATAATCTCACACAAAATCAGAAAAGGATCTGACATTATCTTTCTGAAAAGGAGCTGGTTTACACAAAGAAAAGTAGCCTGGAAGCTGTGAAATGTAGGCATGGAAACCTCCCCTGGACCAAAGCTTTAAAAACAAAGATATTGATAAAGAAAGATTATTTGTTGGTTATTAACAATAACAATAGATATTTCGGGGCCAAGTAGTGGGCGACAAGCACTGCCCTCACATAGTATTCCTCCTCAAGGGTGAAGAAACAGGTTTAGGAAGGTTTAGTCTGTCTGTGGAAGCAGCAGAGGACAGGCTGTCTGACGCCATCACTCAGTTCTTAACCACTAGGCGAAGAACATAGAGTCAATATCTACCACCACCAAAAAGATAGCATTCAATGAAATGGATGTAATACTTCACCTAACACTGCACCCTGTATTTCACAAATTGGTGGAGGAAGTCTACACCACAGGCCCACAATAGTCAAATTCAACTCCTTAAGAAACTTACTTCTGTTACACTCACCACACACACACACACACACACTTCCTCAAGACAGGCTCATACTGTCTCTTACCTGAATGACTACAGCAGCTTCATGTCAAACTTCCCTGATTTTAACCTTGCTCTCCCCGACTCCCTCCACCACACTGCTACTGGAATGAGCTTTTAAGACATGAAAACATATCCTGTTGGTGTCCACCTTAGAAGCCTTCACACTAAGTTATACATCCAAGCCTCTCTCCCTTGGGCCCACCTTCTTTCCTACCCCTCTCCTTTCCCATGTGTGAGATTCACTGCCACCCTACACACAGCTCCCCATTCCCCATCTTCCTCCATCTGTTACCTGCCTTCCTCCCTCAACTGCAAGTAGCTCTGCAAAATCAGGCTTCACCAAACTCCCTCTCATAAACCTGCTAAACCACCCCCACCCTGTGGTGAGACTTTTGGCCACCTCTCTAGGAATCCCCCCAGCATCTGGGTGCCCCGTATACTTTGGTGCAAATAGCACACAATATAGCTCTTTGCACCAGACAGAGAGCTTCTGAGGGCAGACTCTGGAGCTCCCCGTACGGACTTCTAGTGCCCACCAAGCATGAACTCATATGCACATACACATGCACACACTAATTCATTTTAAAGGTAAATCAGCAACGCAACATTTAAAGAGGCCTGAACTCAGTCGGAGTCAAACAGAAGGACACAAAGCCTTACTAAAGCAGCAGTCCAAGTGCCGCCCACCTTGCAGTCCTCTGGGCCACTGTCAGCAGTTGTGGGAGGACAGGCGCTCTCCTGTTCAGAGACGTAAGTCAGCCTGCTCATATCAGTATGGGAACACACCAACTGAGACAACTCGCTCTCAGAAGAAGATTTTTGGTGACAAGCTGCAGAATCAAGAGACTCCAAAGCACACCTGAAAAGGAAATGAATACCTCATGTTGGAATCATCTACGCTTTGCTACTGCCTGCCTATAAACTTGGAAGTAATTCAACCGTGGGTTCAACATTTACATTTAATTATCTAAAACTGTAAATTATTACAAACAAAAAAAATTATAAATTATACATTCCTACTGAATGACCTATCTGATAAGCTACTGTAAAATAAAAATGTGGCATTTTCATTACTAAATACCACATGCAGTCACATAACAACATTAGCTACTTATTTAAAAGAATGTATTGAGTACCTGATATAAAGCAATTAACAAAAGCATTAAAACTTCCTGCCCTCAAAGAGTAAAGCCAACTGGGCACAGTGGCACACATCTGTAACCCAGCAATTCAAGAAACTGAGGAAGAAGATCGCAAGTTCAAAGCCAGTCTCAGCACTTAGCAAGATCCTGAGTAAACTAGCAAGACCATATCTCAAAATAAAAAAGGGCTGGGCTGGGCTGGGCTGAGGTTGTGGCTCAGTAGTTGTGTGCTCCTGGAAGGAAAGAAAAGAAGAAAGAGAGAGGAGTGGGAGGGAGGGAGAAAGGAGGGAGGGAGAGACGGACTAAGGAACCAGAGGATGGCTGGGAGCACAGCTCAGTCAGTGGAAGAGCCCAGGCTGGGGCTGTGTGAGGAGGTCCTGGTTCCGATCCTCAGCAGCAAAAGGCAAAAGGAAACACAGCAAATCCTGTAGGCTTTCCTCAGAGGAGTTAGGAGAGCCAAGCATGTCAGTACAAGCCTGTCATCCCAGTGTATTAGAGACTGAGACAAAGGATCATATAAGTTCACAAGTTTAAGGCCAGCCTCAGCAACTTAGTGAGACCCTGTCTCAAAATAAAAAATAAAAAGGACTGGGATGTGGCTTGTAGTTAGAACCAAAAAAAAAAAAAAAAAAAAAGGAGAATTACGTAGATGAGGGCAAAGAAATGCCCTTATCAAGTAGTACAGCTGAGCAATTAAGTGACATGTTTCAAAAACCCCTCAACTCAGATGTTCTGCATCTATGACTGCATCCTAAGGAAAAACTAAAGATAAAGACTCCACAAAGAAAAAGTCATCACATTGTTATTGATAACAAAATAGGCAATCTTAATTGTCTCAGAGGAGGAATCAGGTTTGGGAAATTATGGCAAAAACATACAATAAAACATTGCAACCATTAAAAAAAAAACATGCTAATATAACTGGGAGTTAATTCAGTGGTACAGCAGCTTGGTTTGATCCCCAGGACTGTGAAAATAAGATGAAAACAAAAACCCAATACCCGTGCTGTTCAATACTATCACTTGGCTCACAAAGATGTTCATGATACACTGAATTTTAAAAAAGGATTAGAAAACAAAAAAATTTGAGAACCCCACACACATTTACTATGTACAAATGCATTTAACAGATAGAAATATTACTTCTACTTCACTTTGGTTTTTATTATCCACCAGAGCCTCTAGCTAAGATGCAAAGACAGAATAAGCTGACTGCACAGTCCCAGGCGGAAGAGCACAGGAGACGACAGGAAAGCTGTCAAGCAAACTCTGTAAACAGTTCCCACACATCCAGACACTCTACCACTCAATTTCACTTGAGTCCTTGACCTGAGAAGATTTTATTCCCCACTATTTTTTTTTTCAATTTTGCACAATGTCAGAATACTCAGCTAGGCAAGGAACACACAGAGAAAACTGATATTTGAGTTTTAAACATTTTTTAAAAGCCCCACATTAAGATGGCATTTTCAAAACCCTTGTTAGTTTTTTTTGTTGTTGTTTTTTGTACCAGGGATTGAACCCAAGGGAATTTAACCGCTGAGCCACATCCCCTTTTATGTTTTATTTTGAGACAGGATCTTGCTAGGTTCTTTAGGACCCCAATAAGTTGCTGAGGCTGGCTTTGAATTTGCAATTCTCCTGTCTCAACCTCCAAAGCTGCTGGGATTACAGGCAGGCACCACCATGCCTGGCACTGGTTATTTGCTGTCTACCCTATTCCCTTTTCTCTGTCTTCACTGGAACCAATGGAAACAAAATATTATTAACCAAACTGCTTCAGGCCTACTTCAGCTACTGTATGACGTGCACTTATATGGGTTCCCGTATGCACATATGCATGTAAGTGCACGGCCATGATAAGGCAGGATAAAAGTTCTAGGTCACGGATCCCCAAGATGGCCGCGAATAGAGTGCATCACACCCCGTGTACCACTCCACTGCGCGGGTGAATAACGAGTTAGAACGACAAAAAACTATCTTGTTAGGAACTTACAGCACTGAAACCTAGAGGAAGGATTTCCAGCACCAAGGTCCAGTAATTGAGTCTCATACACAAGCCAACTGTGCGACCGGAGATCCGGGCTGACTGATCTGCACGGCCAGCCCCGTGGCTACAGACGGCGGGGAGCCGCTGAGAAGTGACCAGCAAGCAGGGAGATTGCTGCAGATTCCGTGGAATCCTGCTGCCTGAGCACTCACGGAGCCCCGGGCTGAGTTCGGGATTTCAGACGGGGAAGGAAACGGGACAGTTCTATCCCCCACAACGGAAACTCCACCAAGGAAACCAGCAGCCACCATCTTGGAGAGCTGAAGTAACCACCGCCACTCTCCGACATATTGCAACTATAAAACAGGTGCGTATTACTCAGCTCATCTCCCATACAGCGGGGAATTCGCATAAAATCTCTCCTAGGCTCTCCGGGGGAGGGATTATCAGAGCAAGCCTGTATAAAGACAGGAGAAAACTAGAGACACCCGACCTTCAACTCCTGCTCCCATCAGCGGGGAAAACAAAACCTGTATTGCCAGTGCGGGTGGAGGGGCAAGCAGAAAAAATCAAAACAATAGAGTGGGGGGCGGGGCGGGGTTCTCAATAGCCACCCTCCACGCCCAACAAACGGCAGGCTCAGAGTACAGTTTGAACTACCAAGAGGCATCACTCAGGGGAAATCTGGTCTAGCAGGAGAAACCAGGGGACTAGAGGCCAGGCCCTCGCGGCTGGAGTCCTCCCCCCGCCAGCGACTGACTGCACGACTGGGCATCTAGAGATTGCCCGCCCACCAGCCCATTGCCCCTGCGACTGAGCAGCTGGAAACCGCACGCATGGCGACCAATCGCCTGCCAGCTGCCCGCGCAACTGGGCAGCTGGGGACGGCCCGCCCGCCTTCGACAGCCGGCCCATTGCCCCTGCGACTGGACAGCTAGAGATCGCCCGCCCACCAGCGACAGCCAGCCCATTGCCCCTGCGACTGAGCGGCCGGAGACCACATGCCCGGGGGCCACCGATCGCCCGCCAGCTGACCGCGCGACTGAGCAGCTGGAGATCACCTGACCGACCGCACGACTAGGCGGCTAGAGATCGCC